GGGCCCACAACAGGAAAAGACTTTAACAATAGGTCCAGGCTACTCCTAAGGGTGCTTGCCATTTGATCCAGCAAACCCAGTGATATTTGAGGTGACGGTGGCAGAAAGTGATGCTGTTTGGAACCTTTGGTAGGTCCCCATGGCAGGAGGGGGAGGAGGCCCTTGGGATTTTGCAGCAAGGCCCTGCCACCCTTTGTAGATATCTGCCTTTGAGAAGCAGCTCTTGGCCTGCTACTGGGCCTTCGTGGAAGCTGAACACTTGACCCTGGAATACAGAGTTATGCAACCTGAGCTGCCCATCATGGACTGGGTGTTATCTGACTCAACAAGTGATAAAGTTGGATGTCCACAGCTGCAATCCATCATTAAATGGAAGTGTACAAATGTAATCGGGCCTGGGTGAGTCCTGAAGGCACAAGTACGTTGCATGAAGTGGCCCAAATGCCCATGGTTCCTTCTCCTGCTGCAATGCCTTCTGTGCCCCAGCATGACCCTATGGTCTCATGGGGTATACCATATGATCAGTTGATAGAAGAAGGGAAGACTTGATTTACAGATGGATTACAGATGGTTCTGCACGATGTGTGGGTACCACCCAAAAGTGAAGAGCTGCAGCATATCATCCCCTATCTGGGACATCCCTGAAGAACAGCAATGAAGGGAAATCTTCTCAGTGGGCAGAACTTTGGGCAGTGCATCTGGTTGTACATTTTGCTTGGAAAGAAAAATGACCAGATGTGTTACTATATACTGGTTCATAAGCTGTGGTTTGGTTCATAGCAGATGGTTTGGCTGGATGATCAGGAACTTGGACCATGATTGGAAAATTGGGGACAAAGAGATTTGGGGAAGAGGCAAATAGACAAAGGATGTAAAGATATTTGTGTCCCATGTAAATGCTCACTTGCCTCCTTAGCAGAGGAGCTCGTTAATAAAGTGGATAGGATGACTTGATCTATGAATAGCAGTTAACCTTCTTTCTCCACCCATTCCTGTCATTGCCTAATGGTCTCATGAACAAAGTGACCATGGTGGCAGGGACGGAGTTTATGCATGGGCTCGGTAACTTCAACTTCCACTCACCAAGGCTGAGCTGGCTATAACCACTGCTGAGTACCCAGTCTGCCAGTAGCAGAGGCAAACACAGCCCCTGATATGACCTTGTTGCCCCAGGGTGATCAGCCAGAAACCTGGTGGCAGGTTTATGACATTGGACAAGTTCTTACTGGAATAGACACTTTTCTAGGTAAGAATTTGCCTTTCCTGCCAGTTATCCTTCTGCCATGATCTTACAGAATGCCTTATCCACCATCATGCTGTTCTACACAGGAGTGCTTCTGACCAAGGAACTCACTTCACAGGCAAAGAGGTGTGACAATGGGCTGGTGCTCATGGGATTCACTGAACTTTCCATGTTCCCTACCATTCTGAAGCAGTTTGTTTGATAGAATAGTGGAAAGTCCTTTTGAAGATGCCGTTACAGTGCCAGTTAGGGGGCAGTGCCTTGCAGGGCTAGGGCGAGGTTCTCCAGTGGGATGTATATTCTTTGAATCAATGTTCAAAGTATTGTACCGTTTCCTCAGTATCCAGGATTCAGCTTCATAAATGGTGAATTGTATCATTCACCATTACCCCCAGTGACCCGGTAGCAAAATTTTTGCTTCCTGAACCTGCAACCTTATGCTCTGCTGGCCTAGAAGTCTCAGTTCCAGAGCAGGGATGCTTTTACTAGGAAGCACAACGATGCTTCTGTTGAACTGTAAGTTAAGGTGTCCTCTTGGCCACTTTGGGCTCCTCATGTCTCTGAGTCAATAGGCTAAGGTAATTAAGGTGTTGGTAGGGGTGACTGATCCAGACCACTGTGGGCTGTTGGGGGTGGGGATTGGACTACTACTCTACCATGGAAGTAAGAAAAGTATGTGAAGTGCAGGGGATCCCTTAGGGTCTCTCAGAATATTACCATGTCCTATTATTAAGGTTAATGGGAAACTACAACCACACAATCCAGGCAGGATGTTGAATGGCTCTGAACCTTCAGGTACAAAGGTGTGGGTCACCCCTCCCAGTAAAGAACCAAGACCTGCTAAGGTGCTTGCTGAAAGCAGAGGAACTGCAGAAGGGGTAATAGAAGAAGGCATTTATAAATACCAGCTACAACCGTATGGCCAGTTACAGAAATGAGGATTGTAATGAGTACTTTCTATTTTATTAAGAGTTTGTTTTGCATATATGCACATACATTAAACAGATCTTAGTTTCCTTTGTTATTCCTTTATCATAGAATGTAACCTTTATTGACTTAATAAGTATTTAAGTGTTATTGAGTCTCCATTGTAGTAGTGAAGTTATGGGATATCAGGAGAAGAGTAAGCATTGCTCAAAACAAAACAAAAACAAAACTTTGCCTCCACCCCGGAGCTGGAATTAGAGCATAGTTTAAGGAGATGTGACAGGCGTCAATCGACAAGGGCAGACTCGTGATGGTGAATCTTGAGTGCAATGTGGTTGGATTGCAAGATGCCTAGGAAATGAGTAAAGTGCACTTCAGGGCATGTCTGTGAGGATGTTTTCAGTGACCACTGGCATGTGGGACAGCATACTGAGGTGGGGACTAGGAACCCCCTGAATTTGGTGACCAAAGAGGAAGAAGGAGAAAGCCCATCAGCACGTACACAAACTTGACCATTCCTGAGTGGTCCATGGTCACTGCCATCACTCCCAGACATCAGACTCCATCTTCCTCCACCCTTCAGTAGGGACTCACACCAGGGAGCTTCCAGGCCTTCCCCTTCAGATTGGGGCAGCCTCGTGGGTCCCTCTTGTTCTGAGGTTCCAGCTTCTTGGAGTGAGCAGCTCTCCATCTGGCTTGTGGATGGCCATTGAGGGACTCTCCAGCCTTTGATCATGTAAGCCAATCTAATAAATCCCCTCTTTTTTCCCCATGTTTTTATTGGTGCATTATAGTTGTACATAATGATGGGATTTATTGTCACATCTTTGTACATGCACACAATATAACAATACCATGTGGATAAGTCCCCGCTTATACATATGTATTCTATTGCTTCTTTTCCTCTAGACAACCCTAATACAGACCCCACAACAACGAACAGGGTCTATGGGAGATGGGTAAGGGGAATATCTTATTCCTTTTAGTCTTCTCTGACAAACTTCCATAAACTGCGTGGCTTCTCAACAACAAGAATTTATTTCTCACAGATCTGGAGGCTGGAAATCCAAGGTCAGGGGGCCAGCATGATTGGTTCTGACGAGGCTGACAGACAGATTGATTTTTCGGGTTACAGACTACCAACTTCTCATTGTATCCTCATGAAGCAGAAAAGGCAAAGAGGTCTCTGGAGCCCCTTTTATAAGAATTCCAACTCTATTCATGAAGGCTCCACCTCCAAACATCATCACATTGAGGGTTAGATTCTATTATATGAATTTGGGAGGATTTAAAACTTCAGTCCATGACAGGGAGCTGGGATGGGGGCTAGAAAATTCCCCTCATCCAGATGCACTGTAAACTCTTCCTGGACCTTCCTGTGTTTATTTAGCCAAGTTATCAAAGTGGCCCCTGGGGTGGCAAATGTGACTGAGATTCCCACAATTAGCCTTGTCAGCCTGCTGTGTCAATTTGCTCTAATGGTAGTGCGTACATCTTTGTCTGAGTGGAGCACAGCTTCTCACTCCTGAACTGCGGAGGGTCGGCATTTTAAGCTGCAAATATTGTTATTCATAATAGGTTGGCAAATATTTTCAGATTAAGCTAAGTGCCAGACTCTGGAATTATGACTGTGAATCCATCAGCATCTGATAATCATTGCTCTTACCTTGTCTTCTGACTGGGAAGCCCCAGAGCAGGAACTGTCCTTAGGTGCCGCAGTCTGGCTGGGCACAAATCACGAGCCACTGAAGCAGGAACAAACTTTATTTTTGAACTGCAGGAAAACACTTCACACAGCTCCCGGGGAATCCTCCCGAACGCCAAGAGGCTTGTCCAGGAACCCCCAGCCGGAAATATCTCTCCCGGAAATCCCTCCTCCTGCACTTCCCCAACCAATGGGAACTCTCGGGGAATCCCCGGAAATCCCCACGAGAACTCCAAAATAGTGCGAGAACTCAAAAGTTGCGGCAGAGGCGGATAGTAATGCCTCACCTGTCAATCAATACTGTTGGCAAAATGCCAGGGGCCATACAGACTCGGCCGTGGCTCTCAGCACTTAGGGGCTGGTGGTCTGAGCTTTTCCTTAGGGCAGGAATCTCCTCATCCATTTCCCACCCTGCACAATGTCCAGTCCTCTTCCTATTGGGCACCTCTAGGGATGGGTAGCTCATCACCTTCCAAGGTAGAATGCATTCTGCTCTAAGCAGTTCTCCTTGTCAGAACGTGTTTTGGGTTACTTAAACGAACCTGCCAGTCTCAGTGTGCTGGCTTTTAATTGTGGCGACAGCATGTGATCCAGTAGTCATTCAGCAAAACTTCCAGTTGTCTAGTGGGTGCCAGACCCTTTGCTCAAAGCCAAAGAGCCAATGGAGAAGGCAGCATGACTACTGTATGTGAGGAGCTCACCTCCTGGGGAATCAGGAAAGAATACACTCTGCTCTTGCACAAGACAGAAGAAGGGGACTGCAGAGACTAGGGGGAGTTCTAAGAAAGAACTGGGGAGAGTTGAGGAGGGCTGTGAAGGATGGACACAACACACGCTAGTAGCCTGGGCAGGAGGTGAGTGGGGTGCAATTGAAGCACCTTCATCATGGAGGGGCACAGCCAGAGGGTCATCTTGGACAGAACATCCAGACAGGTGGAGAAAAGACAGGTGAGACAGATGTGTTGATGGACAGGCTCTCCCGAGGAGACTCTGCCCAGGCTCAGCATCTCCCCACCCTCCTAGCTTCCTGCAGTTTCTCTGGCCATTCCTTATCTAGACCTCTACTGTCTGGAGTGCTTCAGAGTGGGACCCTCCACAGTAGGACCACACCCCTGCTTCCCTCCACCACTGCCATCTCCCCTTGCACAAGACCAGGCATGTGGGACTGCCCTTTCCTCCTACCCCCACCACCGACCATCACGAGGTGGGCTCACCCCTGCAGAACTGTCTCTTACCGTCTGCTGCGGTGCTCCACGGTGCTCCACAATGCTCCACTCCTTCCCCATTTCTCCCGTGTCCATCAGCGCAGGCAGCTGTGAAAACACACACCATCAACCGGAGCATAAACAATGGGCATTTGTTCCTCACCAGTTCTGGGAAACCAGGAAGTCCGAAGTCAGGGTACCAGAATGGTGGGGTTCTGGGGAAGGTCCTCTTCCTGGCTTATGGTACAGCCTTCTTGCTGTGTCCTCACATGGCAGGGAGGGAAGGAGGGTGGGAGAGAGGAAGGTGGGGAGAGAGAGAGAGGGAGAGAGAGAGAGAGAGAGAGAGAGAGAGAGAGAGAGAGAGAGAGAGAGAGGAGACTCTGATTATATTCTCTTCTTATAAGGGACTAATCCAATCATGAGGGTCCCACTCTCATGATTTTGCCTAAATCTAGTCTCCTCCTAAAGACCCCACCTCCTAATTAATACCTCCCTGTCTGTCACTGGGCTTAGGGATTTAATGCATGAACTTTGTGAGAACACAAACATCCAGACCCAGCACCTCCTTGCCCCCAGACCCTGCTCTATGCATAACAGGGACTCTGCTTTTATTTATTTATTTAATTTTTTTAAAAGAGAGAGTGGGAGAATTTTTTAATATTTATTTTTTAGTTTTTGGTGGACACAGCATCTTTGTTTGTATGTGGTGCTGAGGATCGAACCTGGGCCACACGCATGCCAGGCGAGCACGCTACCGCTTGAGCCACATCCCCAGCCCGGGACTCTGCTTTTAAAAGTTACTCTGATGAATTTTCTGTGGACCTACCCTCCTTACTGCTTCCCTAGTGGCTTCTCATAGCTTTTAGGACGAGCAAGTCCTAGTAGGTTCAGAAGGCCCTTCAGGCTCAAACACACCGACCCCAAGTCCCTGACTCTCCAACAGGGCGGTCAGCCTCGTGGTGAGGGGCTCCCCCTGCAGGCTCAGGAGCTCCTCCCCAGCTAGCTTCCACTTCTCCTGGACAGTCCCCCCAGCTTTCCACACCATCCAAGCACCTTTCCGGTGTCCATCCTTTGGATCCATGGGGGACAGTCATCCAATCAAACAAACATTCTGGGTTTATGGGCTGTGAGGTGCCAAAGGGTGACTGTGCCACCCTGTCCAGGTCACAGCCTTGCCTCTTGACTGGGACCATGGAGAACTTCTGCACTTTGATGTAGAAGGACTTGCACAAATGATGAGATTTTAGGTAGCACATCAGCCACAACTGAGGACACTTTGAGTTAAAGCTTATTTCTCTAGCAACTCCTTGCAGTACAGAGCTGCTCTTTGTTATTTTTAAAGTAAAATTTAAAAAAGGAGATCTTTGTTCCTTAATGAAAATATCTATTAAGAGAGGTGACCTCGGGACTGGAGCCGTAGCTCAGTGGTAGAGCACTTGCCTCGCATGTGTGAGGCCCTGGGTTCGATCCTCAGCACCGCATAAAAATAAATAAATAAAGGTATTAAAGAGAGAGAGAGAGAGAGAGAGAGAGGTGACCTCATGGCAGATTCTGGCCTTTGTCTCAATATACCTAAGCCTTAGTGGGGCTCTGAGAAGCAGGCTAGGACCTGGAGCCCCTGAGCCCCAAAGCATAGCAGCTGATACGAGCTGGGCCCAGGCCCTTCCTTCCCTCCTACTCCCCTGCTGGATATCTTACAATCTGAGCCTGAGGGGTGTTGTGTGCACACAGATACCTGAAGGGAGGGAGTAAGGGGGGAAAGACTGGCAGGTGAGAGGTCAAACTATGCCTAGTCAAAGTCTTAGGCCAGCAACTTAACTAGCTGTGTGCCCCTGTGGAGAGTTCTTACCCTCTCTGAGCTTCTGTTTTTGCCTCTGTGAAACAGGGATTAGAAAGGGGAGCAGGTAGAGGTTATCCTGTACATTATCAAAGGCTATTGAAGAGTAAGCTATGAATTCTTATAAATGAGCCTTGGAAAATGCATCTGTAACAGGATTTTTTGTTCCCAGTGGGGAACAGAAACCATGGAGCTTGCAGGCTTTGCTAGGGACCTGTGTTGGCTGCATACCATAAACAAAGGAATAGGGACTGACAGTCAGCAGGGGAACAGTCAGATGGGTACAGAGATGCTCCAGAGCCGGGTGTGGCCCTTTCCAGATTGGAATTTCTCTGACCCTTGTACCCTGGGCTGTTTTCAGTTCTCCTGGGGTATGTGGAGAAGCTGTGAGCCATCCTGTTAATCTGGAGGACCTCCTTCTCATCAGGCAAGGATAAAAGGTCTGACCTCTCAGGCGAGGAAGGACACAGGCAATAGGGCTCTATTCTGTCCTTGGGCGACTTGGTCCTGCGCAGTAAATATGGGACTCGTGTGTGGGGTGCTCAGCTTGGGAGTCCTGGGCCTGGTGGGATTTCTTTCCTTCCCTGAGCCCAGCAGCATGAGTCATGAGTCATGGGTGGAGACCAGGTGAGCCTGTTGCAAGAGGCAGCTTCACTTCATTCCAGCCAGAGTGCTTGCTGAACTCAGGACCTGTAGGCCCGCAGGGCAAGAATCTGCAGAACCCTCTAGAGAGTTCAACAAGTGTTCCTGGGAGCCAGGGACTTGCGTGGACATAGCAACAGGGTACACTCTTTGGTCTAAAGTGATGGGAATGTGGAAATTCAACATCAAATGACTGAAGGCAGTACTTGGTAAAATGAAGTAATTTTGCTTTTCACATCAATGAGATAAGAAGTAATTTCAGAGGTAAAGTTCATAACCCAGAGGCAACAAAGGGTGGCTATGATTATTGTCACCAGTTTCGAGCCTTGAACCCATTTTTTAAAGGCCCCAACTTTACTTAACACTCATTGTTTTGAACCCTAAAATTTAAAAACAGAAGATCTCTCCAGGAACCAAATAAGAGGATTCTGACTTATTAAAAAACTAGAATCACTATATTGGAGAAACTGCTTGTCTTTTACAAATTTCTTCATCTCTCTTTCTCTCCTGTCAACCTCCAATAGCAAAACGGGGTAGCAGGCCTTAGGGACGTACTTGATTTCATTAAGAACTGATAAACCTGGTAACTTCTAAGCTTCCCACCAATTCCTGGGAAGAATGCTAGCCTGGGTTCTACCACTCCTCAACCCTGTGGCTCAGACCTGCTAAGATAGAGTCCGGGTCCCCTTAGTGAAGTGCGGCACAATTACGCATCACAGGGGAACCAAGAGTCCTTATAGCATGCTCCACATGGGTGTGCACATATAGACACACACACACACACACACACACACACACAAATCACTCAAGCTTCTTGACACCAAAGTCCTTCTGTCTCATCAGCATCTTGATAAGATATGCAGCATGTTATGAGCCTCTATCAATAAAATGATGGAATGAAGATCATTTACCAAATGAGGTCAACAGGGCTGCTAAAGATGCGGGGTTTCACAAAGCAGATGCCGGCGATACGGGAACGCTGCTTGGATCCTGTGCGGAGCCTTTGAGCACCTAGATGAGTTAGAGCAGATGATAATCAAAGCAAAGAAAATGGGCAAGGACCTTTATGTGATAAGAGTTCAAAGGGGAATTATTTGGATATCCAATAGTTGAAGCCTGAAATATTTTTAGAAAAATGAACATTCCGTGTCCATCCCGTGGAGGACATGTTACATCAGGTTATCAAGTGCTTTTTGTTAAGAAGGGTCCTGTCCCCAAGAATAAAATCAACAGTTAATTTCATTCTTTGTCCTAAGAATTAGAACGTACTGGTGATTATAATTTATTTTGAGTTAATAAAATATTGAAATGAATTGATTTTCAATAGTTTATAGGTTCAGTTTTGAAAATAAGAATCAAGTCACATTTTTCCCGACTTTAAGTGGATTCTGATTGGGGCCTTTGTCCACTTCTCCGGGAACAAAGATGTCCCATAACCACCTTCAAGGAGTTGGATTTGTTGTTCATTTTTTCTTTTGCTTTTGATGAGTTTGGCTATTTATGGTTTATTAACTTAATGTATTTTTTTCTTTTTATTTTATTTTTAATCTGAAATTACCTCAAGCTTACAGAAAAGTTACAAAAATAAGACAAAGAATTCTTAAATATATCCTTCACTCAGGATCCCCAAATGTTTTCATGTTAACACATTTGTTTTATTATTTTTTTCTCTATTTTGACAGATAGATAGATAATTCCTTTCCCCAAACACTTTTGAATAAATCACAAATATAATTCTCCATTCTTCCTAAATATATCAATACGACCTTCTCTGATACCACAAGATTCAATTATCAAAATCAGGAAATGAGTTGCCAGACCTGATGGCACACATCTGTAATACCAGCAACTGGGGAGGCCGAGGCAGGAGGATTGAAAGTTTGAGGCCACATCAGCAAAATGAAAAGGGCTGAGGATATGGCTTAGAAAAGTGTCCTGGGGTTCAATCCCTAGAAAACCCCTTCCCCTAAAATCAGGAAATGACCACTGAGATTGTATTGCAATCTAAGATACAGATGCCATTCAAGTTTCTTCATAAGTTGCTGTTTTGTTCTGTGGGAACCTGCTTTATATGGGCAGCTTGACAGGTGGCCCTGGGAAAACTTCAAAGAGGGCATGATTATCTATCCATCTGACTAATCAATCTGTAAAACCTTTTGCCATATTTTGAGGAATGTGCTGGGGCTAGAAACCAGAAAGGAATCCTTCACAGACTCCACTCTCAAATGACTTTCTCAAACTTACGCTCAAAGTGTCACAAAGAAAATAACACCTTTGTGACTTCTTGTTCTTTCCCCCTAAATACCGCAGCCTGCTTCTTCCCTCTTGGACTTCAGTGATGCAGAGGGATTTTTTTCTCTTTCCTGTGTTTACAACCACTTCTGAGCACACTTGACATGGGCAGGTGCTCTCTGTCACCACACATTCTGAACAGCACGCCGATGCACTGCTGATGACATGCTCCTGGACCTGGTGAGCAAGAGTGGAAAGAACTCTGGGTGACCTGGCAAGAAGATGTACACATGCCAAGGATAGGAACTGCCTTGAACTGCCCCCCAAACATTCAGGGATTGCCACACTGGCAAGGTGTCTAGGGATCCCAGTGGTTTGGGACATGCCAGGACATCCCTGCCATGGAGAGTCACTGGCAAGCCCCAGTAGAAGAGTCACAGGGTAGATCTTTAGCATTCTGGAGTAAGGCTCTGCCTTCTGTTGCTGAAACCTACTCACAGTGTGAAGCCAGCTCCTGTGTGTGATGGTTCCTGGCAGAGACTTAGTGCCTATCCCTAGGATAGCAAGTGACTGTTCCTGGAACTGTCTGCAATGACTTGGGCATTATCAGACCCATCAAGCCGTAGATTGGGAAGGCACAAAGGCAATCCATCATCCAATGAAAATGATACATTTGGTGGATCAGACACTTAAATGCAAAACCTGAAACTATGAAATTACTAGGAAAAAAAAGGGGGGGGGAAACTTCAGGACATTTGTGCAAAGACTTTTTTTTTTTTTTGGATTTGATACCCAAAGGACACCCAACAGAAGGAAAAAGTGACAAAAGGGATATCATGAAAATGAAATGCTTCTGCACAGCAAATAAAGCCATCAACAGAGTGAAGAGACAATCTCCAGGATGGGGGAAGTTATTTGCAAACTATTAATAGGTAGAATATATAAGAAACTCAAACAATAGCAAAAAGAACATAGAATCCTATTTAAAAATAGGTGAATAACTTGGATAGACACTTCTCAAGAGATAATATACAAATGACCGACAAGTGTATGAAAAAAAATACTCAGCATCATTAGTCATCAATTAAAATGCAAATCAAAACCACAGTGAGGTATCATCTCGCTCCAGTTGAAATGGTATTATCAAAAAGACCCAGAATAACAAGTACAACTGAGGCTGTAAAGAGAGGCAAATTTTGAATACTGTTGTTGGGGATGTAAATTAGTATAGCCATCGTGGAAGAGTATAGAGTTTCCTCAAAACAACTGAAAATAGAACTATCATATGATCCAACAATCTCACCATGTGGTACATATCTAAAGGAAATAAAATCACTGTGTCAAAGAGATATCTGCACTCCCATGTTTATAGCAACACTGTTCGCAACAGCTGAGATATCAGATCAACGTTGGTCTCCATGCACGGATGAATGGATTAAAAAATGGACCTATACATAATGGAATACTATTTAGCCATAAAAAGAATGAAATCCTGAGTGATATAGATGAGCCTGGAAGACATTATTTTAAGTGAAATAAACCAGCACAGAAAGACAAATATTGTATTTTCTCACTCTTATATGAAGTCTATGAAAGTTGATAATAGAATTAGAGAGTAGAACAATAGTTTCCAGGGGGTGGAAAGGGTGAACGGGAGGAAGGAGATGGAGAGAGGATGGTCAGTGGGTACAGGGGGGAGTAGTTAGACATCAGGGATAACTTGAAATGTTCTATAGCATCAGAGGATAACTGTGACTACATTTCAGAATAGCTAGTAGAAAGGATTGTGAATGTTCCCAACAGAAAAGTGATAAACGTCTGTTGTGATGAATATGCCAATTACCTGAGCTGATAATTACATATTAAATGTGTGTATTGAAATTTCATGTACCCCATATGTATCATGTACCCCAGAAATACGTGCAATTATTATGTGTCAATTAAAATAGAAAAAAAATTAAATGGTTTATTTGGGATCAGGCCCAAGGAAGTCTAGTAGAAACATCTAAGTTAGTGAACAGGTGGCCTGGTCCCCCATATCACCCACTTGTGTTGCAGTGACACTTCTCTCTCAGATCACACTTGTGGCCTTGTGGGCATATGGCAGAGGAGGGGGCCCCTAGGACCAGCTGACAGAGAAGAGAACTTGGACCTGGTTCACAGATGGACTATGTTCAATATGTTCAGTACGTTGGCATGAACTAAAAATAAATTGCTGCCCTGAGGGCCAGGACGAGGGTAGTGCTCACTTTGGGTGAAAATTTTATCAGTAGTCAAGATAAATAACATGTTAATTCAATATTTGAAAGTCAAAATTAATGCAAGAAACCCATGAGGAGCAAAATATCTAAGTTTCAAATAAAGACATGATCAGCAAACAGTGATGTGCTGAGCCATATTGGAGTCCAAGACAAAAGGTTTTCCTTTTGGTCTACTGACTTATGGAAATGGACACAGGGTGCCAATCTTTGGACTTATGTAAAGGACCATACTGCAAAGGAGGCACTCAGCATCTGGGGAGACAAGGCTCACCCTGTGGACATCAGCCCACTGCTTGGGCAGTAAGTAGTTCCATGAATGTGATGACTGTGGGGGCAAAGATAAGGCCATGCATGAGCCCAACACTATGAATTTCCTCTTATTAAGGATAATCTGGTTATTACCACTATTGAGGGCCCTATCTGTCAAAAACATAGACTAATACTGAGCCCTTGATATGGCACCATTTCTCACAGAGATCAGGCAACTTCAGGCAAGAATCTGATTGCTTCAGACTTCTGCTACCATAGATGAGACAGTAGTCAGTCCTTACCAGAATCAACACCTATTCTAGCTATGGACTTTTTGTCCTTGTCATCAGTACCTTCCTGTCATCACCAACTGGGATCTTATAGCTGTTTTATTTATTGAGAAAGGTTTGAACAGTATTGCCTGAAACCATGGTGTATGTCTCACAGCAAGGGAGACTCATGACTTCAAGATTCATCCAGAAGTGGAGAGCCTCATAGAGCAACAGAATGGCCTTTTACAAGGCTGTGCTGAGGTGAGACAACGTCCCTTGTAGTTGGGTGGCTGTCTTTTAAACGACAGTGTGTGTATTATACCAATAGCTGATACATGGCCCTGGGTTCCCAAGAACTGAGGGGCACAGGTGGAAGCTAGATTGGTTTCTCTCACCATTGCTATCAGAGACACACTTGAGAAATGTGTGCATCCTCTGTCCATGACTGGGTTGGCTCTGGTAAATTAGACAACTTTATTCTTGATAAGAGTGAAAGGTGTGGAGAGTGAACTCTTCCATTAGAGGACATCTCAAATTCTGCTGAACTTTAAAATAAAAGTACTGCTTGGTTGGGGGTGATGGTGCATGCCTGTAATCCAGCAACTCAGGAGGCTGAGGCAGGAGGATCACAAGTTCAAAGCCAGCCTCAGCAAAATCGAGGTGCTAAGCAACTCAGGGAAACCCTGTCTCTAAATAAAATACAAAAAACGCCTGGGGATGTGAATCAGTGGTTATGTGCCCCTGAGTTCAAGCCCTAGAACTGAAAAAAAAAATCCTGTTTGGTCACTTTGTGCTTCTCATGTGAGTGGACCAGAGATAGAAAGAGGAGGAAGAGGAGGAGGAAGAATAACTGGATTCTATATGCAAAATAATGAAGAGGTGTTTCCAACATTATATGCTTGACAAAATAGATCAGTAAGTTAAATATGAGAGCTAACACCCAGGGGAGATACTGGTGAATGAAACTGACCAAATTATATTGTGTACATGTGCAAAT